ACACCCCTAAACTTGGCAAAACAAAGCTTTTGCTATGGAACTGAAAAGATATATAAGGTAGTGATTCTATTTTACTTGTGCAATAGTCAAATGATAGGAGTGAAAGACTAGTGACTAAGAAGGGGCCTTAACAATTACTGAAAGGAATCCAAAATATAAATTAGGCAAGGAACCACCATAGATGCTAACGAATTGTGGAAAAGGAAAAATCTTTTTAAGGATGGATTTCCCAAATGCTCTAGTATAGCAAAGGTGAAAGCTCTAAGAGATGGAGTAGCAAGGTAGCCAAATAATAAGGCCATAGATAGCCTTAGCATAAATCATAAATAAATGGAATTTAATGCTTAGAGTGGTATAAAATAAAAAAGAAGATGATGATGCTCTCAAAAATTTTCTAGGATAGGAAAGTAGAGTTTGCACAGTATATGCAATGTAAGGTGTCTCAAGAAATCAATATCAAAATTCTAAAATATGATGGTTATGTTAATAGAGGCCAAATGTAATGCACCCTATTTTTCTCCTCTTAAATTAACTAGAAAAGGGGTAATTACTTTATGAGAAAACCCTTAATAACTATTTTATCCTTATTTATCCCCCAAGGTTCCAAAGATTCACAGTGACAGTATATCTAAATTTCATCCCATGATCACATGTGCTATACCAAGACTACTTCAGAATAAGTAGTAAAATTGAGATAAAGAAAGTGTCTTTAATGGGTTTAGTGAGAGCTAAACAAACAAAGAAATAAAACTGATACAAGTGATCTTATGAGTTTCTAAGATGGAGAGATTATACTTCTTAGAGAATGGGCAAGGCATGATGAGCCTTTGATGTTGAACCATCAATGAATATTGGCATGAAAATAATAATCCATAATAAGGTTAACTTATAAAATGATTTATCATTCGATGAGGACATCAAACTTCTTATATGGGTGATAGAGTTGTGAGACACAAATACCTAAGTCCTAAATTGGAGCCCAAAGAGTGCCATATGGTAGTGGTCAAAGTGGAAGTCTAACAAGCATAACATATTTGGACCAAAAGCTCTGACTTGGAAAGTCAAGAGCGGGAGTGGAATTCCAAACAAAGTGCTTGAGGAATAAGCATGAAGCAATTGGTAAATGAATCTCTAAAACGAGACACAAGAAAGATTAACATATAGCAAATGTTGTAACACATGGAAGTGTCGGCATCGAGTCCGAAAAGGAGTCTGAAACGGAGTTCAAGAAGGAGTCGGACATAAAGTTCGAGAAGAAGTCCAAGAAGGAGTCCGAGATGAAGTTCGAGAAGGAGTCCAAGATGAAGTTCGAGGAGTCTAAGAAGGAATCTAAAATGGAGTTCGAGAAGGAGTCTAAGATGGAGTTCAAAAAGGAATCTGAGATGAAGTCTAAGAAGGAGTCCGAGAAGGGATCCAAGATGTAGTCTGAAAAGAAGTTCGAGAATGACTCTGAGATGGGGACGGAGACTAAAATTGAGACCAAGACTGAGATCGAGACCAATACTAAGACCGAGGCTGAGACCAAGATTGAGATCGAGGCCAAGACCAAATCCAAGCTCAAGTCTGAGTTCGAGTCCAAGTCTAAGTCCAAGTCCAAGTTTAAGGGTGAAAGCCCAAGCAATTGTTTCCCAGACCCCAGAGGGTTTGGTGAGAGTAGGGGGAGGACTCTAGTGGAACCAATTTGGCCAAGAAAGGCTAATGTGACTAAGGAGGGTTATACTCACGTGGTGGATGATGATATAACTATTGAGGAGTCCAGATGAACAAGTGGGGTAACTTGGTGAAATGTTCAAGAACTAATTTTAGCTCCCATAGAAGATCAAATCATCGATGCTCCCAATCCAAGTGTGAGTGCCACTAGCTACTTGGATACTTGGAGTGGCTCATCAAAACCTCGCTCTAGCCACATGGCTAGAGCATATAAAGGCAAAAGGTGGGGAGAGTACCCATGAGACTTGTATAGAGCTATAGTGCTTCAAAATGTCATCCCAAAGTCTTAGATTGTGGAAAGGAAAAAAAGCAATCCTCTTGTGTAATGACTAAGGATATGCTCATATAGTGAGGAAGTCTCAGAGGTCAATAGGATTTAGTAATTGGGCCTTTAGCCTTGACCTAGTGGTGGTGTTGGTGAGCATGGCCGTGGATGGAAAGGGACTTGGTGGGAACTGAAAAAAGGACATTGGGAAAAGGTTTTTCTATGCCTTCAGATATCCTAAGGATGCTAAAGTGTGGTCTTAGGATGACCATTTATGGACAAATGGCCTAGTCTTTGGGAGACAAGACTATGGTACGGGTGGTCTTGAACTACCTACAAGACAAAAATGAATGGATATACCCTTAGCATAATGGGTTGATATGTCAATGGTATATTTGGGTTTCTATCATAAGATCAAACACATGAAGCACTTGGACCAATTGCAAAGGTTGTATGGTATAAATGCCACTCACGGGGCTAATATGTCCCCAAGTCAAAAATAAGATTTATGGATGTTATAAGTGAGACTCTTCCAAATGGTCAAAGATGTGGTTAAGTGACAAAGTAAAATGGAAAATTTAGTCACTTATATTTCCCCACAATACTAATATAGGAGGAGGCATAAAAGAAATCAATATGTTGATGATGAGGCAAAAGAAAGCTAATTGCACCCTTACATAAAATGAAAAGTTGTTATATGTCAAATGTCTGTGAAAGTGTCAAATTTCAATAATAGTGTCATATGTCAATCATAGTGCCAATGTTAGATATCATAATTGCAAATTATCATTCTCACTTGTCACCATCACTGTTTAGCACTTATATGTTGCCATCTCTTGCTTCAACATCTTATAAATAATTGTATGTGATATAATAGCACCGTCTAGAACAAAGTATATTACCTACAACTAATATCATTTCATTATTTTTTTTTCTTTTAAAATAAAAAATACTATAGTATAGTAAAGTAATTCTAAATCTTACATTCCACTGTAGAGAGGCCTAAAAGCTCTACATTTCACACTATCAAATGCAATATTTCCCAAAGGGATATTATTCCTCACTATGAAACAATAGTGAGTATGTGCTCATAACTCATTCTTGAATCTATTATACATCCGCATATTTTCTAGACCCACCATTGAGCAATTGCTATAGTGCTTAAGAAAAGTTTGTAAACCCATGAAGCCATTTATCTTGTCCAAAAAAAAGTAGTATATTGGACATTAAATATAATAACATTTTATGCTTTTAAATAGTCCCACCATATCAAGAGCAAGATTTTGTAAAAACATGTGGTATTGCTCTTGAAGCACTGGAGGCAATCCCTCTATAATAGCAAAATCTAAAATTTCATATATAGGGAGCTTTAGTTCAACTTCACTAAAGCCTCTAGCAAAAAGAAGATTGTTATGTAGAGGTAAAAGTGGTATGTTAGTAAAACTTAGAGATGGATATAGAGATTGATATGAAATGTTATGAGGCCAAATATAAGTAATAGTAACTTTCCTTCAAGCCATTTCTATACAAACTTCTAAGGAGTTCAAGGAGAACAAAAAAAAACTACAATGACCATAACTTTTTTAGGTAGTTTATATCATGTACGTGTGTTGAGCACATGTGTGCATGACCAAGCATTTTGACAAATCAAGCCAACTAATTCTATTCTCCAAGGAATTGGATCGTTGTTAGGATTGGACTGATTGATCGAAGTTTTATTAAGTTTTAGTTTTGGGAATGAGGTTTATTTATTATGATATTGATAATACTCAAATCTTTGAAATGTTAGTCTCAGAAATGGGGCTTTATAATCATAGCTTGCTTCTAGAATTTTAGATTATTGTGTATAAATATGCTCTATCATTTTGATGAAAACCTACTTAGCTATATATATATTCTTTGCTACATATGCCAATTTTCTAGGTAAATATAGACCACATTATAGTGGTAAGGTATGTTGGCATGCTACCATTTTCTTATGTGAGATTAACTTTTAGTCTTGGAAATATAGATAGAGTTGATTCTATGATGTGATATTACTTTTGAGTCTTTTAAAATATTTTGATTTCTTTTATTATTATTCACAAACAACTCCCGAAAACTCTTATTGGGGATTCATTGCAAAATTATACCTTAGTCTTTTTATATGGAAGGATTGTGATATAGGCAGGAAAGAGAGTTTTTTATATCAATTAATATATAAATTATAAATGTCATAGAAAGTTTTATAGAGTAGATTTCTTGATGCTTTCTGTTATGTTGCTCACTTCTTTATTTCTCTTACTCTAGACTATTGTTTCAGAAGTAATAAGAATAAAAGTTGTAATACAAAAGAATGTGAGAATATTAATTTCATTTCATTACCTCTATATTACACTCTTAGTCCTTATTACCTATCTGGGAATGTAGAGACCACTCTCATAATGGATAAAAATGCTCACATATCTTTTATTTTCCTTGCTTCAAGAACCCTAAAAAAAATTTGAATGAAGGAATAGTATATAACTATATCACAGCTGTAAAAATAGTTAAAATATGAAGTAGTCAAATCAAAATATGACAGCTATAACAATAAAAATGATAGGTTTTTAAAACAACTCAATCTAATAGAAAATTTTAGCTCAGATATTTATAAATTTCAATATTTTAAAGTTCATTAAAACCTTCATTTTCTAGCACAAGTCAACTCAAGTCAACATAATCAGCTAAAAATCTTACAAAAGAAATCTAAATTAATTTTGGACCATCCCCAAAGATATTTTAGAAAATTCAAATCTGGGTCATCTGCTAGCTAGCAGAGTGCAACGTTGCCAAAGCTAGGCGTTAGAATCTATCCTGCATCGACGGCTGCTGTGCCTGCAACTTCCTGTGCCTGCAACTTCCATGGCTTCCTGCATTGATTGATTAAGAGAGCAGCAATGGATTATGGACAACTGTGTGTGTCTCTTCCTTATAGAGTACAAAGAGAGCGTTGGATCTTGAGAGACATAGATAGACTATAGTACCTTAGATCTTTTTCTTCCATCCTACAATGCTATTGAGCACGTTCCAGACAAATTTCTCAGCAAGGAAGAGCTGTAAGTTTCAACCATTGAAAAGGTTCTTTCCAAGAAAAAAGAGAACCATGATCTACCAGGGGAATATGATCACCACTCTGAGGTTTCAACAACAGCAGCAGCAGCAAATGCAAGGAGGAGACTTGACCTGGCCAATCAATCACACAAGCGATAACACAGCTAGCCTGAATGGCACTCTTTTGCTCAACTCGTCTTCGCATTTCCTGAATCCTTGCGCCACTGCTGCTGCTCCTGCGTCTGACGATTATAATCTCACCAGAACACCATCGCCATCGTCGAGCGGCTGGGTCTATTTCAGTGGCAGCGCTTCTCAGCTAAGTACTCATCACTATAACTCGTCCATGGTCGCTGCTCCAAGTAGCTTGCTAGAAGCACATCAGCTCCAACACTACGAGCAGCACCAGGAGCACTTGAAACGATCACCGGAGCAGCCCATCAACCAATCCGGCATGAGGATTGGACTGGATTTGGGTAGGAGAACGTACTTCTCCACGGAAGACGATTATTGGCCAGAGAAGGACGTGATGGTGGCGCTGCTGGCAAGCAAGCGACCGAGGCTAGTAGATCATGGTCACCTGGAGTTACTCGCTTCTTCTTCAGTGGTATCACAGCCAATGCCTGGTCCTCTATGCCAAGCTCTGGGCTGTAGAGCGGATCTAAGCACCGCCAAGCACTACCACAGGAGGCACAAAGTCTGTGAGATGCATTCCAAGGCCTCCACGGTCACTGCTGCCAACGGCGAGACCCAGCGCTTTTGCCAGCAATGCAGCAGGTTCATAATCGTTTCTATAGTTTTACTTGAAGTCGGTTTTATAACTTGTTCTGACACTCGTCTCCTATATGAGTGAATGCTACTACAGGTTTCATGCACTGTTGGAGTTTGACGAGGGCAAGAGGAGTTGCCGAAAGAGGCTAGCGGATCACAACCGTAGGCGGAGGAAGCCCCAGCCTCGAGCTTCTTCAGAAGACGAGAACCATGGACCTTGCAAAGGCCCCGCAGATGTAGAAGAGAGCTCCAAACGCAAAAAACACTACGAACACTGGTGAAACCATAACCATAGAATTTCAACTCGAAAACACCCACTGACTATCTTTCATAGGCGACACAACGACAACAAACTTTCCTCAAAGCAGGTCAACGCCAGTCGTCGAAGGGGAGACCGAACAATCTTTTTGAGATTGGAATCAAAGAGAATATGTCAGCATTATATACTTTAGCAGTCTGGGCTTTTGCAGTGAATCCAGAGCACTACTCTTCCCCAAAGATATGCCTGGCATGAAAAAGCAGCTCAAATTATTTCAAAAGACAGCCAACTTTTCTTGCATGGGTCCATGGCTTTGAAGAGAATGATAATAATGCAAGGATAGCTTTACATGCCAGTGTTGCAAAGAGATGAATCCTTGGAGCTCATACAGGCCTGCAGCTCTCTTGCCAAGGCTAGGGAAATTCACTCCCAAGTTACTGCTTCCCTGCCAAACGTCCGCAGAGATGTTTTCTTGTGTAACAAGCTCATTGAGATGTATGGCAAGTGTGGGAGTGCTGGAGACGCGCGCAATGTGTTTGATTCCATGGACGGGATTAGAGATTCTTTCTCGTGGGTGCTCATGCAGGTCGCATATTCCCAGAACGGGCATCTTGGAGATGCCAAGTGGGCGTTCGACATCATGCCACTACGGAATCTCGTGTCGTGGGGCGTTATGATGTCGACATATTCCCAGCATGGTTATCTGGAGGAGGCAAAGGGCCTGTTCGATTCAGTGCCACAGAGGAATATTGTTCTGTGGAACACGATGCTTTTTGCATATTCCCGTCATGGGCATCTCGAGGAGGCGAGATATGTGTTTGACACAATGCCCGTGCGAGATACCTTTTCCTGGACCTCGATGCTCGTTGGATATTCCCACGGAGGCTACCTCGACGAAGCAAAGAGTATCTACAGCGAGATGCCACAGACGACTTTAGTCTGCTGTAATGCCATGCTGGCAGCATTTGCCCGGGAAGGCCACGTGGAAGAATGCAACTGGTGTTTCAGCCACATGCCAGAGGCAAACATGGTGACGTGGAACTCCATGCTGGCGGCATATGCCCAAGCGGGGCACCTTGCGGAGGCTAAGCATCTTTACGATGCTGTCCCTGAACTTGACCGGTTCTCGTGCACGGCATTGGTTGCGATGTACGGACAAGCGCGTCAGCTGGAGGAAGCAAAGCATGTATTCGACGCAATGGCGCAGCGTGACGTGGTGACATGGAATGCCCTTCTTGCAGCATATACCGGGTCGGGCTATCTTGATGATGCCAAGCGTTTGTTTAGATATATGCCGGAGAGGAGCGTTGTGTCATGCAACTGTATGATCTGGGCCCACACGCAGGACGGTGATTTGGAGAACGCAAGGTTTATCTTTGATAAGATGCCCGTTCGAAGCCTTGTAACGTGGAACTGTCTAGTGCTGGCATATGCCCAAAAGGGGCATCTGCGAAATTCCGTAATGGTCTTTGATACCATGCCTAGCCACAGCTGCATCTCGTGGAGCGCTCTAGTTTCGTCTTACTGGCAAGCCGGTTGTTTTGGAGATGTAATATGTGTGTTTAACTCCATGACCACTGTGGAGACACCAGACGAGATATGCTTCGCAATGGCTTTGTTTTCTTGCAGTCACTTGGGGATAATTTTGCGTGCAAGGAGCTGCTTTGGATCGATGTTTGTGGACTATGGACTGATCCCCGTAAAGCAGCACTACTGCTGCATCCTGGACTTGCTTGCAAGAGCAACGTATTTGCAAGACGCACTGGAGCTCATCGACAGCATGCCATTTGAGATTGGCCCCCTTGAGTGGGTTTGTTTCCTTGGTGCTTGCAGAACATATGGAAGCCTTTGCCATGGTACATGGGCCGCAAGTAATCTCCTTCGCATGGATTCTCGAAATGCGGCTGCTTATGTCTTGCTTGCAAACATACATCATAAGCAACATGATGGAAAAACATTTGACTTGTAAATGTTTGTCTAAAAAACTTGAAGTTATTAAGTATAAAAGTTTTTATTTTTTAGAATTTACATTTTAAATGTAACTAAATAATAAAACTTTATAAAGTATCAATTGTATTGATGCATTATATAGCTGCCTTTGTGTATCTAAGTTAGTTGTGGCATCGTCTGCTGCATGGGTTGAAAAATACAAGACGAACATAGAGGAAACTCTCAAGAGATTAATCAGGATGAAACTTCTGACTTGAAGGCCATTTAGATTTCCAATGCTGCTGTGGTGATCACTTTTGCCATTTCATCTCCACTGCTTGCTTTTTGTAATGTAAATATAAATCAATAATGTATTTTATAATATATTTTTGGTTGGCTTTAACAAACCCTAGTGGATATATCTGGATATTTTAAGATATTTTACCATCTAACGGTTTTTATTCATTTAGATTAATTTTGTATTTATAATCTATAAACATGTTTATAATTTTTAAACTTTCTAGTATATTTTATTTTATTCTACCATCTAATGGTTGATATGCAATAAGATTAATCTTGTGTTTATAAATTACAAACATGCTTATAATTATAAACTTTTATTTGATCAATTAAGTAGGAATAACACTATTATTAAGCAAACCAAGTGTTGCTACATGCAACAGATAGCAATTGCAAAGATTAAATTTTACAAGTCTTTTATAATCATTCTCTTGGCATTAAAATTAAATGGTTATTGTGTAATGCAAAATCTTAAAGATGGCAATGCAATTATAAAAAAAGAAAATTCATTTCTTGATATCAATTTATAAGTTATCAATAATTTTATAGAAGTTATTCCCATTTAATAAATTAAAATAATGATTTATAAAACTCAATTTTTATAAATAATAGAATGGAAATTTAATTCCTTTTAAAGACATATCCTTTATTGTATTTTATTTTAATTGTTTGGCTCACGAATGATCCATCTCCACAAACATGACACACAAAACCTTTCCCTCGACTTCCAAGAACACATGGGAGCATTCACGGCCGCAAGTCAGCTCCTTCGCATCTCTTTGACGATAACAACTACATCTGTAAACGAGTGAAATGCAAGCTACAGTGTAAAAAATCTCTTCCACTTACGAGACCAGTTAAAACGTGTGCAAAGATCCAGGAGAAGACAATCCATTAAATGGCTGATCACAGTAGCGGAACACAAGGCACTAAACCCGATTCCTCTGCTGGAAGACTTTTGGCTTGGATGATTCTCGATCAAACAAACACACAAAAAAACAAATCGAATCCATTTCAAAAGAGTAAAGTTTTCAACTCTTGAGCTTCGCTGCTTTCGAGCCTGCTTCCCAGCTTTAAATTCGCCCATGATCCCTCTGGCCAGTTAA